AGACAAAAACAAATCCGCAGGGAATTACGAAAAAAAAAAAAAAATGAAACAAACAAACAAACAAAATGTGGGACCCCTGCAGGACTCATGGAAAAAAAAAAAAATGATTTGGCAGGACTTTCATGTGCCATGCAGCTAAAGACGATTGGGTGCTTGCACATATTACCTGCACAAACGAAAAACGTAATAATAAAAAAAGATCGCATTATTCCAGCATCCCACACAACATTCTTCACATTTCATGCGGCATCCGGCCTGTTCCTCCAATCCTCCTTTCGTGCAGTCCGTGGGACGCACAGCCGCAGGGCCGGCAACGCGTGTGGTCAAAAACAAAAACAAACAAGAGGGAGAAACACTCCGCTCATTACAGTGTTCAGCAACCTAAAATTACGCAAAGAAAAAACAACAGTAGTTATTACTCCGGCTGAACTACAGTGAAAAAAGACATTTAAAAGTAAAGAAATTGAAGAAGTAGAAGTAAAAAAAAGGCGGGCAATGCGGCATGTATTCTAGGTGAGGAGTCGAAAATCCACACTCTGTGGCTCAGAAGGCTGCCACCACCCAAATACAATCCCATTAGAAGCAGCAACACACAAGACACGCACGCACGCACGGTGTTGTTACCGTCTAAATCACGCAGTGTCAGTTTCACGTCGTTGAGAGAGGCGAGGTGGTCGTCGGGACTCACGCCGCTCCACACCCTGCGAGGTGACTATTTGTAGTGGGGATTCGTGTCCAGGGGCGTTGTGCCCATTCATTTCTCTTCCGTAATATTCCCAGCAACGTACTCTCTGACACTGTCAACTACTCGAATCTTCTCGGGTGGTGTCGGAGCCGCTTCTCTCGTCGGAATGGGGACCCTGTCCCTGAGTGCACGCATCGCAGTGGAGTTCAGTGGGCGGCTGTACAGAAAGACGTTCGTCAGCGTCACATGAGATTCGTGCCCACCGCACGCGCCAAAGAAAAACCTCAGGACCTCAGGTGGCCTCTCGCCTGTTAACAGCACCTCTTCCTCCCCCAGCGACCGACCAACAATGTGCACAGAGGCCTTGTTGCCTTGCAGCGTGAGTGTGCCACTTGTTGTTCTTTCCTCGGCTCCCAAGTGCTGCTCCGTGTCGTTGTCTTGCCTTCGAACGCCGTCACTCACTTCTTATTATGGCTGTACGACAGTCCCACGGTATGGTTGGACGCAGTGTGCGCCAGCACCGCAGTCAGTGGAGAAGTTTTCCCACTCGGAGTCTCTTCGATGCTCACCGACACCACAAGTGTGAAGTTGTGTCTCAAGGATACATGACGCACTTCATCACCCCGAGTGTTCACAGGCCATATTGCCCTGGACTCAAGTCCCGTCAATTGTAACCCATCGTTGTCCTTCACTGCATTCCTTCACCATCGCATGCAGGCAAGGGTACTCGTCGTTCCACGGGTCATCACTGGCCGCATCGGAAAAAACAGCCACCAGACACGCCGTGGGTGTAGACAAGCTGGAGAAGAAAATGTCCTTTTGCGCCCAAGTACTGAGGATGGACTTGATTGCACTCAGTCCCTCCGTCATGCAGGAAAGTGAAATGACACGGCCCTCACCGTTGCCCCTCCGTTGTAAAAGATGCAAACTGCCATCCGAGTGCATCAGGGTGCTGGCGAGCATCCGATTCGCAGCATTGTCCACGGCAACCGGTCCAACAGAAAACGTGCGGTTGTTGTCCGTGACCCAAAGGCAGAGCGCAGTGGCCCTTTTCTCCCCCGAGGTGTGCCCTCCCTGAGTGCACAGCATGACCTTCCTTTCCTCAATGGTCGCGGTGATGAGGGCATCCACACGCAGGCTTTCCTTCTGAGAGACTCCTGATCGTGCGTTGGCTCACACGGCTGAGAGTGTCCCGATGGCCTCCGTCCACGTTGTCCCCATGTCACGCGACTCGTACACCCTCTGGCCATTCTCGCAGTCAACAATCATGGGAAGTGATCCCTCCCATTCTGTGACGCGGGGGTAAAGGCATTCCGCAGGGGAAATGTCCTCAGAGAGCGCCCAGGCACTGCCGCTGTCCGTCGAGCAAATGATCATGGAGCAAACGTCTTCTGCCTTACTCTTCGCCATCAGAGGAAACACAAGCGTGCCATCCTCCATCACAACACCTGCGCCACCAGAAGCAATGAACTCCGTCCATTCACCTTCGTGAGAAGCAGGAGAGATCCGTTTCGAGAGTGGTTTGGGGCCGCCCCATTCGATCCGTCCACTCTGCCTGCCACCCGTGGGATTCGTGACATCACCCACAACCAGTTTCGGCTCCAAGCCGCCCTCTCTCCAACACCCACCTTCGTAGGACACATCAGAGCCTCCCGCAAGAGGAAACACTCCGTCGCCCTTCATGATTGTTGTGGGGCGGAGCACAACACCCAAACTCTCCTTTCCCTCCGCTGCACCAACCACAGTGTGTGCCCTCCGTGCATCCTTTTATTGACTTCACCAACAACAGTGGACCAATCCCACGCAGAGTCGAAGTATCCCGCAACCACATCAGAAGAAAAGGGCTTACTTAATTGACCACCTTGATATTCGGCATCCATGTGATCTTCGGCGAAAGCAGCAATTACTCCACCAGCACTGATGAGAGAGGGTGAAGCAAACGAATCCCTCGTCGTAACTGGAAAAATCCCATCCTTCGGCTGCACCAGCGTCGTCTGCAGCACAAATAGATCGACTCCCTGCAGTAACTCAACATTTATTGAACCACTCATCGCATCATCAATGGGATCCCTCTTCGGCTCGGTGACAGGCGTGGGCCTTCTTTCGGATGGTGCCGGAGCCACATTGATATTCTAAACGTAAGCAAACTCAGGCTTCGTCTCGGACGTGTTGGTCTCCGTGTTGGATGCGGGACTCGGATCGACGTTATTGGGTGCGTCAGCCGCGGCAGACTGTTGTGCACCCTCGTTCTGACGTGACGGCTCGGCATTCACTTGCGGCGCAGTTGTCCCGCAGGATTTTGTGTCATCCTTCCCTTCACGGGGTGACGGCAACTGACAGATGCCCGTCTGGTCAGCATCGCTGCTCCGTGCAGGCGGATGGATGGTTCCATCGGGAGAAATTTGACGCCGCCACAATTCATGAGGGCCGGCGTATTTATGTGTCGTCACATTCATCGTGAAGGCAACGGTTGCCCCTTCCTCCTTCGTTGCACAGCTGGCAGCACAGTTGCTACATGTGTGCACCGCATTGGCCACATGGCACAGAGCACCCAACTCACCATTCCTGCTATGCATGCGCACATCAAAGCCACTGAAAGTATAATTCTCATGCTGAGCCTCAGCACCGGCAGCAGAACGCTTCTTCCACACACACAGACACACGCACGCGATAGCTCAGGCTACCGTCACTCGGTGCACACAACACATCCACCGCGCGCATCACACCCGCAGGAAGAGAGACGCGGGCTGGGCGCTCCCTCTCTCCTCCTTCTCTTCATGGCCGCGGAAGAAGAGAACAGCCGCCACACGCAAATGCCAGCATGCACTACAAAAGAAGCATCCAAATCGAATGAAATGTGCATCCTGTGCGTGTGTGTGGTTGTGTGTGCCTGCAGACACACGAAGCAAAGAAGTAAAAACAGGAGCAGAGCATGTGAAGGGACGCACAAACAAAAATGTACAGCAGAAGCGCATGGCAGAAATAAAGAGAAAAGGACTGCTCAGGCTCACAATATTGCACTGCAGACAAAGCAGCGGCCATTTATTAAAAAAATTATTAAAATTAAAAAATAAAAAAATAAATAAATCATCTTCACCTTTCCACACCTCACACTTTGGAAAGAAGAAAAAAAGGAAAAAAAAAAAGAAAAGAAAAACCACACACACAAAAAGCAGCTAACTACCATCTTGCTCCAGAAATTGTCTGCATATTTTGTCCAAATTAAAAATTAAAAAGATATTTAAATGTCTTTCAACCGTCTGACCCTCCATGTGTCCGCGCATCGTTTATATTTCATGGGGTCATCTGCGTGTTGCTGCTCCCCTCAGCCCTTTCATCGGCGTGTGAGTGCGGCCCGCAGAGCACAGTCACTCGTGAGTGCGGGGACTGAGAGAAGCACGCAGACATGACGGGAGTCGCGTCACTCCATCGGAAGAGTGAGCGCAGCAAAAGAAAAAACATCGGGGGAAAAGAAATGCTCACAAGACCGACACCGAAGGGACTGCCGGCGCGAGAAATGCACACGCAAAGCAAAAAATCTTAAAAACACGGCGGCAGGGTGTGGCTGTGTGTGTGTGGCGCTGCGGGTGTCTGCCCGCCCTGGTCGCAAAGAAAACAAAACAAAACAAGAGGGAAAGAAATGTGTGCTCCGCCCCACAGGCACTCGTCGCACACCCACACGTCACGGCTCCCTCAGCGCGCCGTTCGTCGCGGCCCCTCCTCATGCGTGCAGCAGGCGAGGCGCACAGGGCCGTCGTCATGAGCGTGTCGGTGGGTGTGCAAGTGGAGCAGTTGGGCGGGAAACACACGGCACCCCTCACAGGAAGAGTGCAGCAAGAAACAATTAAAAAAGGGAAGAGTAGAAAAGAAAAAGAACGTCCATATTGATTGCCCCCAAAAGCAAAAAAGAGATGCGGGAGTTAGAGACAAAAAAACAGAAAGTAAAATAAAAAAAAAAAAAAACAATAAAAAGCCGAAGCGTGGGACGACCAGCGCACACACTCTCATTGCTCCCGTAAAGCAAAACACACACAGGGAGAGATACAGAGAAGGTCGCCCACTCAATGCAATAAAAACAAAAAAACAGTTACGGTGCTCCGCCCATGCAGCCAGGCAGGACGGCAGCGGTGCGTGTCGTGCAAAAGAGAGCACCAACGGGCCTGCATGGGTGTGCATGCATATATACAATGGGCACATTATGTGTGTGCTTCGTGGGATGAGGTGAGGGCGAGAGTCCATGCAAGGGGACACACACAGGGAGAGAGAGAAGGACGAGTATGTGTGCGGGCGGTGCATGGCTCTCTCTCCCTCACCCTCACGCGGCCACCACCGCAGCAGCAGCCGCACACGCAACAACAAAAAGAAGCAAAAGAGGGGAGGTGGTGTGAGAGGCCGCGCTGCTGCTGTCATTGTCGACAGGCTTCGCCGTATCACCTACTTTGGCGTTTGTGGTTGGCGCTGTTGTGGATCCTGCACTCTGAGGGACCGTGTCGTATTTGTTGGCTGATGCAGCTTCACCATCGGAAGTCTTTTCGGGTGGTGTGGCGCCTTCAGTGGAGGGTCGGTTCGGATGATTGGTGGTTGGAGTGTCTTCTGTGCCAGCATCAGACCGCAGGGCCGCGGTTGCCGCGGTGCTGCTGTCGCTGTTGTGAGTAATTGCGGTTTGATTTGTACCAACACCATTTTTATCTTTTGTGGATTCTTTTTGATTGTTTTCTGAATGTTCTCTTCCTTGATCCTGTTGTTGTTTTTGTTGTTGCTGTTGCTGCAGCATTTGATTTTGTTCTTGTAGTTTTCTTTTATTCTCTTCTTGTTGTTGATCGTGTTGCTCACGTTCTTTGTCTTTTCTGTCATCCTCTTCTTTTCCGCCTTCTTTTTGGCTTTGGCCAGGAGACTCTCCTGTATGTATGCCTGATGTTTCCTGCTGGCTGGCAGTTAAATTCACTCCCGAAGCATCTTTGCCAACTACAACTTCTACTTTTTCTTCGGACTTCAGAACTCCTTCTTCGTTCGGTTTCCCAACCTCCTCAACAGTTATTTGTTGTCGACCTCCAGAACCATCACCAATTTTTCTTCCTTCCAATGACCCTCCTGCGGGCTCGCGTGTTGATTTTTCTTTCTCTTCGAGCGCTTGAGCATTTTTTTGTAGTGAGATTTGCTCCTGGTTTTCCCTTCCTTCTTCCTCTTTTTTTTTCAGTCTTTCTTGATCCTCCCCTTGTTTTAATACTTGTTCAACTTCATTTTGTGTATCTTTTCCTTGTAATTGTTTTCCTTTTGTACCTCCTTCTTCTCGTTGTATGCCATCTGCCATTTGTTGCTGAGAATCAGGTATCTCCACACCAGCCTCTGCAACCTCACCAGGTCCCTCGGCCACAGAAACAAAGGCACCGCACCACAGCACGCAGAGGGCACACACCAGCAGCGCACGGCCAGTCATCATCGCCATCATCACTCCTGTCACTTGCGTGTAGCCTTCAGCACAAACCAACTCCCCGTCAACGCAGAGTGAAAGCAAACGGAGAGACACGGTACAGTAAAAAACACCAGCAGCACACCAGCAGCAGCAGCGCACACACCATTACACAAATGGAACCAACACAAATCCAAAACTCGCACAAACCCCTGCAAAAAAATTAAAAAAAAAAAAAAAGATATTATAAAAAAACAAAACAAAAAAAAGAAAAACAGCTAAGGCCCTGCTGCGCATGCATACAATTGTGTCTGAGACGCGTTCAACGTGGCGGATGTAGGCAGCAACGCGGAGCACACAGCAGGGCAGCGGCAGCAAACAAAGCAAAAAACAATCATCATAATTACTCTTAGTTTATAGATCGGGCCACAGTAGACGTACACATGTCCCCGTGGCTGAGTGCTGGCACGCACACACCTCTTCAGCCCACAGCGGTGCACGCCAGCGCGGATACGGCGAGCAGCAGCGGGGCACACACCCACGCAGAGCTGCTGAGGCTGCCGTCGATCTCGCGAAGACTTGACGGTGCACGGGTGGTCGTCGTAGTTGGCGCCTCTGGCGCGGTGGCTGCCCTTGTGGTCGTTGTTGTAGTTGTAGTTGTAGTTGTCGTGGTAGTTGGTGGTGTCTGTGCCTTAGCCTCTTTGTTATTTTTTGACTCATCCGTAGCCTGCTCTAGATTGTTTACCAACGACTCATGAGACTTATCAGTTGAACCTGTCGGATGGGTTTTTTTACCGTCTAACCCTGACTGACCTGACACACTTGTACCTCCCTGCTTAGTAGACAAATTCTCTGATGGCTCTCCCCCAATGGCCGTAACTGGCCTATTAAACGCATCGGTCATAACCGGTTCCGGTACTTTACGAGTAGCTAAACCTAAGGCACTGTTCTCCGGACCTGGTGCGTCCGGTGATGGCGGCTCACCGGAGCCACCTGGTTCCGCGTCAACCGCTGTCACGCACACGGACGGGCAGCAGCACAGGGCGAGCACCAACAGGGCGCACAGCAGACGGCACGTCATCATCATCGTGAGTGTGGTCGTTCAGTGGTGTGGAGCTGATCTGCACAGTGAGGGACATGGAGAGCAACAGGGGAGACGAGAGGTGCGGCAGACACACACACAGAGGGCACACCACATGAGGAGAGGGCAGCAGCCAGGCATGCACCGTAAGCCGCACACCACGCACGACACACACTCCAATCCACGGCAGCAGGCACACACTCACACACACACACAGCCCTGCCGCAACACACAGATGGAAGAGGGGAAGCAAACAGGAGCGGCACACAAGGCTCCACCGCACGTACACACGGCGAGAGCGGTCCGTCGTGTCGGCACCCCTCACGGAGGGTGCGCACACAAGAGGAGGTGCAGCGCACACAGCAACACAAAAGCAAAGTAACTATAATAAAAAGGAGAGATCCCCGCACACCACGTGGATTGCTGGTCCACGGGAAGCGCAGCCAATATTCATCACAAAAACAATTCGTTTCTGTTTCCTTTTCGTTGTACGTTGTGAAAACAATTACTGAGTAGCGCAAGGGCCGTCCGTACCAAAGTGGCAATTATTCCGTCGCATACGGGCCGTCGTGCATGCTGGGCATTCCCAAACAGTCGCAGTCCTTACTCTCAACAACGAAGGCATTCCCACAGTCGATGAAGCAAAGTATCCCGTGGTTCGTCGTGGGATCAGCAGCCCGTGGCGTCTGTGATGAAGCGGAGGTCGCAAAAAAAAAAAAAAAAAAAAAAGACGAACAAACAACCACCGGAAAAAAACACGAAAGAAGAGCAAAAAGAAAAGAAGATACAAAACGTACAAAAAAAGAGGGAAGGAAAAAAAACGAAGGGGGCAGAAGCAGCAGCCAAAAAAGAAGCAACCGCTGATGAAAACACGGCCGCATTTAAAAATATCAGCATGAATAAAATGACCAAACCTGGCGACAGTGACGGCAGCACCGCGGTCTCCCACACCACCTCCCCTCTTTTGCTTTTTCTTGTTGCGTGTGCGGCTGCTGCTGCGGTGGTGGCCGCATGAGAGTGAGGGAGAGAGAGCCATGCACCGCCCGCACACACACTCGTCCTTCTCTCTCTCTCTGTGTGTGTGTGTGTCCCCTTGCATGGACTCTCGCCCTCACCTCATCCCACGAAGCACACACATAATGTGCCCATTGTATATATGCATGCACACCCATGCAGGCCCGTTGGTGCTCTCTTTTGCACGACACGCACCGCTGCCGTCCTGCCTGGCTGCATGGGCGGAGCACCGTAACTGTTTTTTGTTTTGTTTTCATTGCATTGAGTGGGCGACCTCCCTCTCTCTCTCTGTGTGTGTTTTGCTTTACGGGAGCAATGAGAGTGTGTGCGCTGGTCGTCCCACGCTTCGGCTTTTTGTTTTATTTTTTTACTTGTGTTGTGGTTGAGTGCACCCATTTTCCCTTTTATGATTTTTGTGGTTGCTTTGACTGCGGTCACGTGAATCCTCTCTTTTGTATTTTATTACCCTTTCATTGGTGAGAAAGTGTCAGCGTTTTTTATCCTTGTTAAGCCACCACGTTTATATATATATATATATATATATATTATGCGTCAGTTGATCCACGTCGCCACTGCCTGTAGCGCTGCAGGTGTTGCTTGTGATGATGCATGCCATTTGGTTTTCCAGCGGATGCTTTGCTGTCTCCCTGAGGTATTCCTGTTCCATTGACGTTGTGGTGCGTGCCGACGGCGAGTGGTTGCCCCTGTTGATGGTGGGGAAAACGCATCTCAAAGCGCAGGATGCGTTGCAGCTGTACACCTTTGTTTGGGAGGGCCGATGGGCACCCATTCGCATCAATGTGCCCACAAGGGGATTGAATGATACCAGAAATTATTGCCTTTCACAGCGGTCTTACGCAATGCGTTCATTAGGTGAAAATTGAGGTTGTAAGGAAGGTGTTTCTTCCTCTGTGCACGGCAAAATCCTTGCCGAGAAGGCTATCCCTGCTGCTGTCCAACTGCATGCGGATCGTCCGTTTGTCCAGCCACTGGAGGGTCTGTTGATTGCGCCACCATCTGACACGGGCATTGTTTGCAGTCGGTTGGTTCACGGTGCCTGCTGGGCATTGTTGCACTGGTGTTGCCAATTCTGACATGGTGCTGTGCGTGGCTGCGGCGCCGGGTGTTGCGTGATCACTGCGGTGCGCCACGCTGGAGGATGGCCGTCCAGTTGCTGGCGCCATGAACTTTGCCCGGCAGTTTTATTTCATGGAGGTCTCGTCACCCGCATCGCCGCGCATCTGGTGACCCATGCTCTCTGGTTCACCTACCCGCACATGGCCAGCCGCAGCATGGTGAGGAATGTTGCCGGAGTGAGTGGCGGGGCGCTGTCGGTGGTGATGGACTTGACAACTGCCGCGATGGCAGAGGGGGAGCACCACGACTGTAACGACGTTGATGGCATGGAGCTGCAGGATGACGATGGGGACAGGAGGACGCTGGAGTCGCACTTGTGGCAGCGCCACGCGATGGATGGGTGGATGTTTTTGATTGGAGGTGCCGGCTGCTGCACGGAGCTGACGCTGGCCGCACCGGCTGATCTGGGCTGCTTGAGGGTGAAGCGGGAGATGGCGGGGCCGACGCGCTGGAGCAGGAATGCAGTCTGCGAGCTGCTGCAGAGGAATTGATCCGCACTGAACATGAGTGAATATCTCCACATTTTCTGCGAAGCGGGCGTTCCTGTTAGACGCTGCACGTCGGATTGGTATTCCAGTGGTTGGTGTGTAGTATCCGTGAAATGTCAGCAAAGCGCTTAATGGGCAGTTGCTCCATCACTGATTCTTCACTGGATGTGAGTGATGATGACACTGTTATTTGGAGGAGAGAATATTTGTCTGCGATGCCTGGGGATGAGCCCTCTTCGTGGTGTCTGGACACGCTTCCCGCCAATAAGACGGATTTGAGGGAACCGGAGGAGACACATCTCGGTGCTGCCGTGCATGCGGCACTGCGGTGCCTTGGCATGCAGGTGCATTTGAGAGTGACTGAAAAGGGTAACGTTCGTTGGGTATCATGCACGGACGGAGCGACGATTGCGTGTGTCACTCCGCCCCACGATGAGGGAAACGTCATTTGCCCTGACTAAGCGGAGGTGTGCACGACATCCGCCACTGGCGGCAGCATACTTTTGGTGGTTCCGTGGGACGGCGAGGAGAGGGCGTGTGGAGCAGGACGGTACGTCCGGAATTCTTAAAACAAATCTTGCCAGAGGCATCCGTCGCTGTTGCAGAGAGCATTGAGACTGGCCGTGGAACCCCATCGAAGAATGTTGACTCAGCTGCTTTTCAGTTGAATCCATTTCCACAAGGAGACGCCGAGGCTGCCGTGGCGCAACACGACCGCCGAGCGGGAAACAATACCAGCATTCCGACAGGCAGTGAGAAGGAAACAGCACCAGCCGCCTCTGGTCAAAAAAACAAGTCGTCTATGGCCGCTGTTACAGGAGCAGGTGGGTTCGGGACAACGCACGGCGAGGAATCTTCTACGGAAGTGGCGAGCTTGATGGGAGGAAGAAGAACAATCCGCGCCGAAGGAGAGCGCAAACCCAACAACCCTGCGGCCAAGGGAGACCGCTGGGGATGGGGATGCGCAGTCAGTAAAAAAAATATATGGCGTCTCTGGCTGGAGGTGAGTGATCGCTGCCCAAACAAGGCGAGGCTCCTGTTCCAGAAAATAACCACTCCGAATCCGGGAGCGGCGTGAGCCAAGAAGACCGCCTCGCCCTGCTCCACGACACGAAATTGATACTGCGTGATTGGAATGCCGACAGCGCTTCGCGTGTGTGCGTGTCTCGGGTGTCGGTGCTTCTTCTGGGACTGTGTGGAGTTGTCGCGGTCTTGTGGGCCAAATAGTCTGTGAAATTGCGACTACTGACGGAGATTTTGCGCCCCTTTTTTTGCGGTTCCTTAATGTTTTTTTCTTTAGTGGTTGCTTCTGGTGTTTTTTTGAATGATCAGTCTTTTTTTTTATGGTCGGTTGCTGCACACTGTAATGAGCGAAGTGTTTCCCGCTCTTTTTGTTTGTTTTTGTTTTTGACCACACGCGGTAACGGCCCTGCGGCTGTGAAGTCCCACGGACTGCAGGAAAGGAGGATTGGAGGAACATGCCGGATGCCGCATGAAATGTGAAGGATGTTGTGTGGGCTGGTGGAACAGTGCAATCTTTTTTTTTTTTTTTGCTCCAATTTTTATTTTTATTTTTGGTGCGTGTAATATTTATATACACAGACACCCGATCGCCTTGTACTGCATGGCACATGAAGTGTTTGCCAAATTAAATTTTTTTTCCGGGGATCTTGCAAAACTCTCATCCTTTTTTTGTTTTTCATTTTTCGTTTTTTGTTTTTTTGTGATTCCCTGCAGCGTGTTTCTGTAGTTACCGTATCTGCTGTCACTTTGCGTCTCTTTATCCCGTTGAGTGTCCCTCTGCTGGCTGTGCTGTTGACATGCCCTCATTTATTCTGCTTTTTTTCCTGTTATAGGAGCCGATGGTCCGCGACGACGATTGTTTGTGGTCCCCCATTGCGATGGCACGAAGGTGACTGGGCGCCGGACTTCTGAGTGCACTTAGAGTGGGAGCGGATGGTGTGCACCGTGCCCCATTTGTGAGTGTGAGACGCCACCCGCCGCCCCGTCTGTGGCCCAGCCCTCAAATTCCTCTTGTGGCTGTGTTCTCGCATGCCCTTCACTTTTGTATTTTGTTGCTGCGGGTGCGGATGGCAAGGCACAGGCAAAAATGCATTGTTAGGGCGCTGCGGCGGCGCCGCTCCCCTCGGCGATGCCGGTGCTGTGTGCGGCTGCTGCCTCCCTCCGCGGCGATGGGGAGATGGGGGCCACGGATAGACTGCACGGCGGTTCTCCCTCCCACTCCCTGTGTGTGTGTGTGTGCGGCGGATGAGGTCTCCATCTATTCCTCACCAGGACGGAGGAAAGGAAAGGGTCACACAACAATAGAAGAGAGGAATGAAGGTAACGTGGAGTGGGAAATGATGGACCGAATATGTGTACACAGGCTGGAAGGGTAGTAAACGTGGTCGAGAGGGATAGTAAGGAAATACAAACAAATAATGCATAGGAGGAGGAGGATAGGGAGGAGGAAAGAGGGATACATGTACATACCACATATATAATATATACATTACATATATTTATGTGTGCATTTATACACATGTGTGTCTTGACTCTCCCGTCTTCATTATTAGTTCCACGCGGCATTAGAGAAGAAGTGTTGGGGAGGGTTTGACGGAGTCTCTTCTTCTTCTTCTTCTTCTTCTTCTTCCTTTTTATTCTTCTCAGGGCGTGAGGATGAGGCGGCGACGTGCCCATCTTGGCTTTGTTGGCGTATTGCGTCCCGTTCTATCTGCTCTTCTCGTGTTGGCGCTTCTTACTTTTCCTTTCATTGTGTGGGCATTACAAATGGATCCTGAGCCTGCTCTGCCGTCGCAGCCGAGGGTGAGCAAAGTGATCGCCCTTATTGCCGCTCAAGGCAACATTCATGAGGACTCCCCAAAAATAGTGGTGGTGTCATTTCCAATGACGTGGCGAAGAGATCGTTTGTTGCATGTTTTGAATGCCACTCTGTATGATTGGCCGAGGGGTGAGAGTATTGTCCATGAAGTGCTGCTCGTGTGGAATGGTATGAAGGAAAAAATGCCAGACGAATTGCCTGCGTTGAACTCGAGGTACGACACAAGGCATCGACCAGCATGCAGTGGCACTGGACATGCCCCGTTCCTGCGAATTGTGCCGCAACCATCCGATTCCGTGGCGAATCGCTGGCTTGTCGCCTCTCTTCTCCGCACCGAATCTGTGCTCAACATCGACGATGATATGAAAGTGTTGTATGATGCGGCACGGTGCAAGTTTTCAATTTGGTTGCGATCCACCTATTTGCTTGTGGCGACGAACGTGCGGGCCGTTGTGGACTGCGGCAAAACAATGGAGCGGTGTCAATGCAATCGTTCCTTTGATTACTTGGCACGAGAGCGGCTGCGAGGGATAGGCCTATCGTACAACGTGGCCCTGCCACGTGTTCTTCTCTCCTCACGTGTATACTATGTTGTCTTTGAGGAGTTGTTTTACCGGGCTGTTAATGTGCCCACGTACCCCAGCCTGACGAGTTTCACGTCCACTCGACAGGATTCCATTCGTCTTATACTGGAGGCGTTGCTCTGCGATGACATTTCCTTCAACTACGCGGCGGCAAACGCCTCCGTTATTTTTCTTGTGGCCGCATTGAACCTATTTCACGCGTCAACGTTGGATAAAGGCCACCCCAATTCTAGTAGAGGCTGCTTTGAAGTCATTTCCGGAGTCTAGTGCTGCTGGGGCCCTCACGTTGGAGTCTGGTGTGAAGTTGAGGCGGCGCGAGGGCGTGACACGGCTTTTAATGCTCTTCTCACCGAACGGGGGCCGCACCCCCTGCCGTCGTGCGCACCAAATTTCACAGGCAACGTGCACCGTTACCGGATGAAGTAAAAAAGGAAAAAATGGGGTGCTTCCTTGTCATACCTATTTGTTCACTTTTGTTCCCTGCTTTTTTTTCCCCCGACTGCTGTTGCTTCGCGTGGCAGCCACCAATAAAGAGAGAACTTAAACTAATTCCCCCTTGACCCTGTCTCCGTGTGGCTCAATGGAGGAGCCTTTTTGGCTGCGGATGGGAGGGATGCAAGTTATGGTTTTGCTGCGGATGTGTGTGTGTGTGTGTGTGCTCTGGATGCCCAAACCCAATTGCCCCGCAAATGCGGCAGCAGAAGGATGTGATGGCGTGGAGGCACCAATGCCACTTGAATCAAACCGTGCCTGTGGCACACACGCAAACAGGAAAGCGAAAGGAAGAAATACTCGTCTGGGCTGCTGGCCGGATCTTCAAATTTTCTAAAGGAATAAAATACGACGGGAAGGAGGAATGAGTCAATGGAGAGGCAGTGGGCTCGCCAAATCCTCGCTGTTTGCTCCGCATATTTATATATTTATGCATTATGGTGGCCCCACTCTCGCGACATGTTGAACGCTGCATTCGGATTGGATGCATACATACATAAATATATTT